CGTGTGCCTAGAGCTCTAAGATCTCAGCTAGGACTGGGAGAAGCGGTTGACTGGAGGTCACCTACGAAATGTAGCAGAGCCGGGGATGGAGCTGGCACGACCCTGGCGCGCCCCGTCCCCGGCGGCCCCGAGAGACGCGCGTGGGTATCTGACCGCTGGGATGCGCATCCAGTCCACGCATTAAGACTTTTCAGAACGCTTTCCCTTCCTCTCTCCCTTCTGCTGTCTCCCCTCGGGAGGCAACCTGCGCCCTTGCTCCTTTGTCATCCGAGAAACCCAGGGGCTCGAGAGCTCTAGGGATCTGTGAGCGTTGGCGGGCAGGCACCAAGGCGAACGCAGGAGATATGAGCAGCCGGGTGAGTGGTTTGAGTCCAAAGTTCAGGGCACAGGCTCTGGAGAAATTTCGGCTTGGCGACCTTATTAGCAGTGTGGCCGTGGGCAGGTTGTTTCATTTCAATCACAGGGCAATGGTTTCCTCGCCTGTAAAATGGTGGTGGTCTAACCTGCCTTCTTGGTCCGTTGTGGGAATTCAGTGAGTTTTTGCCCGTAAAGCCTTCATTCAACAAACGGGATCTATTATTATCTGGGGACCGCCGCGGGGAAACCCGAGAGAGTGGGTAGGCTCAATCCGAGAAAGGTTTGTTCGAACACCTTGCTCCAAGCCCTTGTCCTGGGCAGACTAAACGCTCCCAAGCTCCGGGGAGAGCCCCCACCGTGTTGTTTGCCTGATCTCTACCTCCTATATGCCTTCGTCCCTCTCTAGGCCTCAGTTTCCCTGTCTGTACTATGGGAGAGAGGCATGCTTCCAGGGACTGGAGGTGTCGGTCAGACTGGGCGAGCAAACGGAGCCTTCTCTGCAGCGCTGGGGGTCGGAAACAGGGGTGAGGGTCCGGGGAAATGCCCCCTTTCCTTTGTGGCTTGCCAGAGACGCAGGGAGCAAGGAAGCAGGACAGACCGAGTTCCGGTGGAGCGGTGGCCCGCTGCTCCTACGCGTTCCCGAGGGCAGTGGGTAGAGGTCTTGGAGCGGCGGGGGCAGGGTGTCGCGCGCGGGCGGCAGGGCCCGGTTGCTCAGCCACCCTCGCCGGCGTCTGAGTGCCGCTCGGCGGCCGCTGCGGAGCTGTGCCCGGCTCGGGTCCTCACTTTCCCAGGGCCCTGGCCCGCCCGTACCCCCTTATCCCCTTCCTCCTGCAGGCAGCGCCTCAGCCTCTGCCCGCCCCCGCGCGCGACTCCAGGCCGCCAGCGGACGCCTTCGGAGCGGGCCGCATGCGGAGGGACTTGGCGTCTTAGGCCTTAATCGCCCCATCTTTTCCTTCCCTTTTTCCCAGCACCGAAGGAGGCATCTTTCCTCGGGTCTCCCTCTCAGCGGTCTCTGGCTAGCGGGAAAAGCAAGGGGACATTTCCCCAGACAGGCGGCCCTTCTGGGGGCTCATCTTCATAAAGCCAGCGGAGATCGAGGGAATTTTCTAAGCGGCAGGTCTCAAGTCTGGCCTCCTGGGGGCGGACGAGCAGAGAAGATTCCCTCTTTTCCTGGGACGTCCCCGCTAGTCCTAGTTCGACTGTATTTATCTTGTCTCTGCTCTTTTTGGGGGGCAGGTATGTTTCCACTTGCACCCCATGGAAGTTACTGCGGGCCCTGACGCCCTCCAAGGAAGGGGATTGGTTTTCCTCTGCCTTAACAGGGGTGGGGATAGCCAAGAGAGGGGAGGTTTCAAAGTTCAGGGTGCAGGGGACTTTGCTCCCTGGGTCTGAGCTTCCTTCAGGGCGGAAGACCCCGAGGGCTGGGCAGCCCTGTCTGCTGTTTGGAGCAATTAGGAGAGAGGGGGCGACGCTAACCCCCACCGCGGAAGAAATTCTGAGAAGCTCAGAAGGCGACATCATCCTAGGAGAAATATCAAGCCTTTCCAATTGCTCCTTCCACATGTAAACCCATTCTGCTGTGTATTTTCCTCACGCAGTTTCTTTCCCCCTCACTTTCTTCCTCCCTAATTCTGCAGGTCTAGACAAGGCCTGGAAATTTGCATTTTTAACAAATGCACCCCTCCCCCTCTGCCCCCCATATTATTAGGCTGATAATCCGAATTTGGGGATTACTGTTATAAACTACCCTAAAGTCATATCATAGATATGTTATAAATTCTCTCTCTTCACCGCAGCTGTGACTATTAACTCAAAAAGGATGGAGGCAGTCTCAGTTCATACTTTACAGTCCCTCTGCACACGTGCTTTGCCTTCTGGAGGTGGTGCTAACCTTACAGGAGGGAAGACTGAAAAGTGTTTAAGGATTTTTCAGAGTTTAAATTAACGTGGCTAGTTCAGTATTCATCAGAGGAAATCCACAAAAACCTACCACTCTGGTGGCCTGGGTGTTGTTCCCAGTTTTCTATCACCCTCTCTGTCTCTTTCCCACCTTCCCTTTAGCTTCCTTCCTACTTAAACATTTATTACTGGGCGAGAAAGCCAGGTTGAAAGCACAAGGACACCCAGAAGAAAAGCGATGAATACACCTTGCTTGATTAAAGTAAAGTACACTTGCCATCCCAGGTGAGGTACCTGCTGCCTCCGCATAGCCAAAGGGAATTAGTCTTGTCAAAAGATTCCTGCCCCTTTTATTTCTGCTCCTTCTTTGGCCTGGCAGATGTGGAGGTTGCCTCCCTCTTAGTTCCTGGAGATTACTGACTCTGGGGCAGGAACTGGGCTGCTGAAGGCTTCTTTCTCTGGGCCAATTTCTCTTTTAAATCAGGCAGCTTCAGGCCCCTCAACAAAAACATTATTTGCAGAGTGCTTCTAGATTCTGCTTGACCCCCAGAAATCCATCTGTTGTGTGGTCCTCAGAGTGGCCACGTCTCTCCTTTCCCTGGCAGCTTTGCCGCCCCCATTGGCAGTCATCTGTTCTCCTATTATGTGTTCCCATCACTGGGGTATGTACCTGACCAATTTGGAGTCCTGAACACGGTTTACTGGAGAGTAAAGTGGAGGCTCAGGCAATTACGGAGAGGGAGGTCTGAGTCTTATGCCAGGGCTATCTGGGATTCATTGATAGGAGGGCAGACTCTGCTTCCCGCTTCCCCTTTCTTGAAGGATCCCCCTCAGAACAGGCAGTGGATGGTCCAGGCAGGGGAAGGGATTGGCTCTGGGGACCCTTTGAGCCTTGGAGGTTAAGCCTGGAACTTTAGGAATTTTTCAGCAGGCCCAGTTCCAATTGTGCATTTGAATTCCAAAGGAATGGAGGAGGTCCATCTCCCCCTTTCCTCTGCCCACAAACCTACAATTCTTCTAGTCTCTCCACCAACATACCCCTCCTGAACAGTGTGCCAGGAATTCTGGTAGACGCTGTGGGGATCCTGATGGATCAGACAGATCTCTTCAGGAGTGTCTTGGAGGAGATGGCATTAATTATGGGACCAGGGATAAAGTGCTCAGCACATTCGTGGTCCAGATTAAATGGCATAAGAGCAGGGCAGGCTTTGTGCACGAGAGATAAAGCAGTGTTTGAGGACAGTGGCCATGTACCCACAGGCCTGAAACACAGTCTTTCATCTAGTTTCGGAATCAGGAAGTGGCTCCCACTTTCCTGCTCTGCCAAGAGCACAAAGCATAACTCTTGCTTGTCTCCATTCCATTCAATATGGGCATGTGTACTTTTCCATCACTGACCCCATGAGCTTCCTAAATCAAAGGGTCAAGGAAGGCCGGCAGAAAGGGGACCTGGATTTCTGGCAGAGAATCTCCCCGAAGGAGTCCTTAGCAGATTTGGCTGCAGTCAGGGAGTTCCTTTGAGGGCAATGAAACAGAAGTTCACCATGTGCTTATTAGAGGTTACAACCTGCTAAAAAATGATGGGGCACATTACCCAGAAACATCTAGCTATTTCCTTTGCCAGCCACAAGCATATATGTCAAAAGGTCTCAGGTTGGAGACCATTTCTTCTTCCCTTCTTTCTTTCCTTCCTTCCTAGACCTCTCTCTGTCTTGACATATGGCAGGGGCAGAAGTTGAGGAGGGTTCCTTCAAGCACCCCATTTTAACAGAAAGAATGAGATAGAGAGAAACCCTACACCAAATAACCAACTAATTAGAAACTAGTTAGTTGTTGTTTTGGTAGTTACTCTAAAGAAAAACTACTTTGGGGGCGGGGGTGGGCTCGGAGGGGTTGGGGATCGAATCTGAATAAGTTTTAAAACGCATCCTGATTCAGCTCTAGTAAGAGCATTCATTCCACCGTTTACACAGCCCATGGAGCGCTCGAGAGAACTGAGTATGTGAGGACAGTGCCTATCGCCAGCGGCCTCGAGGCTAGCGGCTGAGCCAGAAGCGTTTCAGAGGACAGACTAGGGGCAGAGCCCGGGTCCGCCACTCCCTGGGGACCTATAGCGCCTCTCTTGTCGGGGCCCAGGGTCCAACCACCCCTCCCAGCGTGGAGGCTGTGGCCTCCGCGAGCTCCCAGCCCCGACCTCGGCACCCATTTTCCACCCCACCACCCTCTCCTCAAAGCGAAGAGGTGGGCACCTGGGACTCGCGTCCTGCTTTTTCTGCCTGGGCTTTCCTGTCTCCTCCACTTTTGCCCCCGACGTCCCAGAATAGCGGAGGAGGACGCGGCATCGGCCCTGGGAGGGCGCAGCCTGTGCGCCTCGAGCGCGCTCAGGGCGCGGCGAGGATGCTAAACGCAGCGCAATGGCCAGGACGCAGACCCCAGCTCTGATTCCTGAGAAGAATATCCCTCTCCCCATCCTTCTGTTCCCCCTCTCCTGTCCGACTCAGCCCTGCTCCTCCCCAGCTCAGACGCCGGTGCTCAGAGATCCTTCGCTCGCCACTTTGAGAGGAACTTTGGCCGGCTCCCCTGCGCCACCCGGAGAAGGATGTTAATGAGGGAGCGTGGCCCCGCGCTGCGAGCCAGCAGGCTCCTGAGCCGCGATTGGCTGCGGTGAGGCGGAAGGATGACGTTATGCAAATGAGGGGGCGGGTCTGTCAGGCGCGGGCCCCGCCTCCTCCCTTTGGGGTTAGTGTGCCTGTGTTTAGCTCTGGGGAGAGTCAAACTGGATTCCATAGGGAAAGCCTGCAAATCACTTCTATTTTAGCAAGGAGAAAACAGAATCTCCATCCAGCAGGGTCCACCCCTCTCTCTTTCTCCCTCTCCTCTCTCTCTTTCTCTCTCTCTGTCTTTCCCTCCCCCCTTCTTCTCTCCCTCTCTCTCCCCCCTTCCCCCCACCCCACTCTCCCTCTCTGGTGTATCTGTCTACGGCAACCAGCGTGCTCCTCATCTATACGCACTGAAAGGAAAGAAACATCTTTGGTTGGGAGAGAAGGAGGAAAAAAAAAGAGAGAGGAAAAAACTTGCCTGGTTGTGGAAAATGACACTTGAAGTAGCAAAGCCGGCAGCGCGAGTTGAGTCTATTGTTTCTTAAATTGCCATCAGGGCTTTTTTTTTTTTCTTCCTGCTTCTTCAAGTGAAGGGTACCTCTACAAAAGGAAACTCCAGCCCCTCCTGTCCTCCACCGGCCTGTGATCATTACAAAAAAAAAAAAAAAGCACCCAAACCAAAAATTAACCAACCAAACAACCCCCAACAGCCAAGCATACATCTCTATTTTTTTTATTTTGGTCTTTTCGTTGGATTTTCCCTTCTTTTTTTCTCTCCTTTTTTCCCCCCAGGTTATCGCTCAGTTTTGAGCGAAGGTTTAGATTTTTTAAAAAATTTGCTTTTCAGCCCGCCTTGATCTTCTAGCGCGAGTTCATCGTCTCAAAGAAAAAAAAAAATCTCTGGCTGGCGTTTTCTTTCCTTTTTTTTTTTTTTTTTTAATATTTTCAAGGGGGAGGAGATTTTCCACAAGAAAAGGTTGTTTTCATGTTTGGGATTCAGGAAAGCATCCAACGGAGTGGAAGCAGCATGAAGGAAGAGCCGCTGGGCAGCGGCATGAACGCGGTGCGGACGTGGATGCAGGGCGCCGGGGTGCTGGACGCCAACACGGCGGCGCAGAGGTGGGTACCGCTCGGGGACCGCGGCCGGCAGGCGAGCCGCGAGCAGTGGAGCCGGGAGGAGGTGGTGGCGGCCGGCGCCGCGGGGCCGGGCCGCGCTCGTGCGGCCGCCGCTCCGCTCCTCTCGCCTCCGGGGCTTCGCGCTCCCCGGCCGCGCTGCTTGGTCGCCTGCGGCCCGAGAGCCGGCAGCTGCCTGCGAGGAGCCCACGCTTTGCCGGCACTTTTCCTTGCCTCGTCTGTGACTGTTTTCATTTTGTTTTAAGCCAGAAGAGGCGTCTCACCAGCATGATGTTGGATATCTGTATTTTTATGTGATTGCTCTTTCTTTTCAGGCCGGTTTCCTTTCTTTCTTTTTCTTTTTCTTTCTTTCTCTTTCTGTGTCTCTTTCTTTTCTTCGTTCTTCCTTTCCTTTTTCCTTGTTTTCCTTTTTACTTCTTTCCTTTCTTCCCTTCTTTATAAACTTATTTTCCTTCTCTTCTCATTCCTTCTTTTCTTCCCGCTCTCTTCCTTCCTTTTTCTCTTCCTTCTATCCTTTTTTCCTTTCTTCCTCCTGTCTTTACTTTTCTTTTCCTCTTTTCCCTTCCCTCCTTCCCTCTCTTCCTTCTTTTCGTCCCCTTCCTTCTTCACTCCTCCTTCCTTTCTCCTCTTTCTCCTTCCCTTACCTCCCTTTCTTTCTCCTTTTCTCCCCAGAATCTTCTCATTTCTCCCATTTGGTTCTCCCTCCCTCTCTAGTTTTCAGTTTTTCTCGGTCCACCCGGAGAGCAACTCTCAACTTTAATTCTGACATCTCCTAGAAGTCTTCCCCACTCTCTGTCACCATGGCCCCTTCTAGCCCCTCTCCCACTCTCAGCTCCTGGGATGCTAGACTGTGTGGCCTGGAGGGACTGCCCTTGGAGAGTGACCTGGGGGAACTTTCCTGGGCACCCTCAACACCTTTTTCTGGGACTCCTGGTCCCAAGTGAGAAATGGCCTTTTTTTTTCAGGCCACAAGCTGGACTTGGGGGAGTGGGAGATCTGGCGGCCCCAGGCCCTCTCAGACTCAGAGAGGGCGGAAGGGGAAGAAGGAAGATGACTAATTACATCATTTTCATCTTCTCCGGGCTGGGGACAAGTGTCCGGCATCACTGTTCCCATCCCCGCCGAGTATAGAGATGGGGGTGGTTGGTAGTGAGAGTGAGTTGGGTAACTAGGCTGGAAGTGAAAGTGTGTGTGTGTGTGTGTTTGTGGCGTGTGTGTGTGTGTGTGTGTGTGTTTGAGCGCGCGCCCTTGTGTTGGGCAGGTCGGGCTGTCAGTGGCCGCCCTGCGCCCCTGGCGCCCCAGCCTCCAGCCCCCCGGCGGGCGCGCTCCGCCGGCAGCCCTGGTCGGTAGGATTTCTGGAATGAGTGTGAGGATTTCTGCGGAACCGCGAAACTTTGTCGGGACAGGTCTTTAAAAAACACCCCCAGTGTTTCCGACAGCGACCACCCCTGACATCTCTGAGTTCCACTCTCAGATCCTTTTTCTCCACATGCTTTATTTGGGGGGACATGTGGCTTCCCGAGGCCGGGCACCCATGGCTGGCGGCGCCCAAGAGGTTTCCTGGAGGTTGGCTGCTGCAGCGAGCAGCTGAGCATGTTCCCCATCCCGTTTCACCTTCCCACGGAGCTGAGACGGGAGATTCGAGGGGGTGGCGGGAACCAATTCCCATTGCCCCCTCCCTTTAAGTTGTAAACGACCCGCTCTACTCTGGGAGCGCGGGTTCACCTCGTGCACTGTCACTTTTCTTCCTCCCCACGCAGCGCGCATCAGCTCCCAGTAAATGCTTACAGCGTTTTATCTCCTGCGCAAAACCCAAACAAAACTTTCACACCTCTTCGGCTAGCTCGGGGGGCGCGCCCTGTCCTCGGCCGGGAGGACGGGGCGCGCGAGAACACTCATGGTCCGTCGCCGGGTGGGCCCGGGGGGCTTGAACGGGCGTATAGGGCGCCTACTGGGCGTTTTGGGGGCAGAGGAGGTGGGTGTTTGAGGGTTCGCGCGTGTGTAAGGAGTAACAAGCGGTCGCGGCTCAGTGTCCCGCTTAGCCGTCTAACTCTGCGTCTTTGGCCGCAGCGGGGTGGGTCTGGCCCGGGCTCACTTTGAGAAGCAGCCGCCTTCCAATCTGCGGAAATCCAACTTCTTCCACTTCGTCCTGGCCCTCTACGACAGACAGGGCCAGCCCGTGGAGATCGAGAGGACGGCCTTTGTGGGGTTCGTGGAGAAGGAAAAAGTAAGTGGGCGCAGCGCCGCTGCCCCTCGCCCCTGGCAGGGGAGCAGGCCTAGGCGCTTCGGGAGGCGCGCTCCTCCGCGAGTGCAAAGCATCCGTAACACACTCTTGCGCGGGGTCCCCCAAGCCACTTCCCATCCTGGGCGAACCCGGGATCCTCGTTCATGAGGTTCTGCTCCGAAGAAGTTCGCGGGGAGCCCCAAGAGCTGGAGAGAGGCGAGCCTGGCTTCAGATTCCAGAGTCAAGGGCGCCCGGGATGAACCCGCCCTCGACCGCGCTACCACGCGAGCTCCTGCCTCTCCTGGCCCAGGCCCGAGCCCCCAGGCCCTGGGGAGGGGATCGCTGGTGCGCGCCCCATGGAATTTTCTGGAAGGGAAGAGGGAGCAGTAAAGGTGGGGTGGGGGGACCGCAGAGGGATCACAGTTGGCGGCAATTTCTGCTGCTCCGGGGCCTGTCTGGCTCCCCCGCCAGGGGTCCCGGCTTGGGGAAAGTTGCCTGGAAGTCGGTCCACTCGCTCACGCCGACCTCTCTCCTGCGTCTCTTGTGTCTTTGCGTCCTGCTGCAACCCAGGAAGCCAACAGCGAAAAGACCAATAATGGGATTCACTACCGGCTCCAGCTCCTCTACAGCAATGGTGAGGCTCCCGTTGGGTCCGCGCCGGCTCTCCGGGGTTCCGGGTGAGGGCAGGGGGCGCGGAATGCTCCAGGTGGACTAGATCCCTGAGCAAAGCTCAGTCGTTCGCCATCCTCGCGGTAAACCGGTCTCTCCTGTTTCGCCTGAGGAGGTTTCACCCGAGAAGGCCCTGAGTGGCTCGAGGGCGGCCGTGTCGGGCCGCCGTGTACCTGGGGCCAGGTGTGGCGCCCTGGCCCTCGCTGGGCCGTTTTCTCTCTTCCTCCCCTTCTTAAGGCCGGTTCTCTCTGATTAGTCCAGACTTCCAGACCCTTGGGCTCAGGGAATGATCATGGCCTTGATGGCTCGCCCAGAGGGGCTCCTGCCAAGGGAGGAGAGAGTAGCCAGGTGGGGGTTCCGCCCCATTCCTAGCTGCCGCGGTTGGGGGCTGGCTTCCGAGAGCAGTCGGGCTAGGCCAGAGACCCCTGTCTGGACACTGGGGAAGGGGGTCCTGTGTGCTTCTCCAGAACTGTTGGAGTTGCGGCAGCCTTGGAGCCCCATTCTTTGTTTGTTTCGCGCAGATCCTGTCTCACTTAATTTTCCTTCGTTCTCCTCTTTCCCCTCCTCCTCCTCCTCTCCCAGGGATAAGGACGGAGCAGGATTTCTACGTTCGCCTCATTGACTCCATGACAAAACAAGTAAGTTTGTTAATTTCGCGCCGGGAGAGTGACGCTAGGGCCTCGAAATTTGGGACAATCAAGAAGCTGGCTACTCCATAGCGAGAGGTCTGGGACTCGAACTCTCAACTCCAAGGCGGACCGGGGACCGCGCTCTCAGCGCAGTCTTCCCAGGGGCCATACATGCACTTGGGTCTGCCGCGTGGAGAAGATGGCTCGACGGCTCCCTCCTTCCAAGGGAAACTCAGACCTTGTGAACTAAGATTACGAGTGCTGAGTGGGGAGAATATGGGCTGAACTTCCTTTGACCCGGCCGGGGAGCCCCAGGGGGCGCAAAAGGTGCCCAGGGACCCTGGTGAAGAGTGGGCTGAACTTGTGAAACCCAAACCCGGACCTCCCCCGGGGGGTAGAAGGAGTGGGTGGGGGCAGAGACAGTTCCCCAGGAGTGGGGAGATGGGCCGAGAGCGCAGATGATCCACTCTACAGATTTTTTTTTAAAAGGAGGTGGTGGTGGTGGTAGTGTTGGAAGAGGGAGCGACAATTGTTGGAGGATACTTTGCAAAAATCTTCCTGCTTTTGCTTCCAAGTTTGGCAAGAAGCCAGGCAGCATGAGTGAGCTTGTGGTCTTAAAGGTACATAGGCGGCATTTTCTTAAGCTCCCCAACACGCGGGTGTCAAGCAGTATACATTAAGGTTGAGTTATGGTTTAAAAGATACAATTATGAGCCGAGTCAGAAAAGAGGCCTGACGTTTTAATGAGGTGCAGGAGGGCTTTTTTTTTTTTTAATTTTAAGAAAAAGTTTAGTTTCGGAATTAAGTAGCTGGTTAGGTAGTTGGAGGGCTTAATAACAAAAAGAAGACAGCTTTATTGAGTGGGGGAGAGAAATCAGAGCAACGAGAGAAGTTAGCCATTGTGTACCAACCACCAATTTAGGGAGAAGGTTAAAACTTAGTTGCTTGATTGTGATTTAAAAATATTCTCTTTAAAATAAGGGAGCTGATCTTTCATAGATACTGGCTTGGAAGACTTCAAATTAGGGTATACATACATATTTAAAATTGTTTTTAAATAGGCCATGGCTTAAATATGTGGTACAAAATGCACATTAATAAGCTGTTGGGAGTTCTAAAATCTACTCAGTGAGAATCAGTTTAATAACAGCTAATTTTGATTATTACTCTCATATTCCATTTCAAACCAGGTAGAAAACATGAGGGCGTGAAATGCATTTTTTAAAAGAATAAATAAATGTCTATTGAAATCTATTTCAAGTTATTTGCCTAAAATATTTGACTTCTTGAAGATCTATTTATATCTTAATCAATTGTTCAGAGTAAATCCACATTTATACTTTTAGTCTTGGTCTTATTTTCTTTACTGGTTTTGATTATTACATAGGATAATTCCCTTTCATTTGGACACGTTGTATTTTGTTAAATTTTTTTTTCTACCAAGCAGAAACACAAAAGCCTGATTTCAATAACACTTTTTTTTTTTTTTTTTACCGTCTTCAAACAAAAATGTCGTAAGTGGAGTTTTGTTTTAAAAAATTATCTTTGATACCCTGGATATCCTTTCCTTCATTCTCATCAGAGGAAAGGAAAAGATGGGAGGAGGAAGGGCAAAGTATGAGCTCTAATATATATTACGTATGTATTTATTAGAATTTATTCTTTAAAAGATAAAAAGTGCCCACAAACCAGTGTATAAGGCCTGTCTGCTTGGGCACCATTGGCCACTTAGCACCATGAAACGAACAATTATAAGGAGCACAAAATTAGGACGTTTGAAGTGATTAATTTCTCTCAAAACTTCTTTTTAGACCCCTTAAACAAAAAGCGTCACCAAGAATTGATTTTCCCATTGTGACATGAACTGACTTTACACACAGTCGTATGGTGGGAGAATAATCTTGATTTTTATAAAGCAATATATCAAATATCATTTTACTAACAAGGTCATGGAGCTTAAGGAAAACTATAGCTTAAGGCATTCTTTGACCGCTGCGTATCATAAATTCTATCAGCTGGGGGGCGGGAAACTAGAACAAGATATAGTTTATTTTTAATAATAGCAGGTATTAGAAAGTCAGTTGCCATAATATACCGTTTCACTGAAAATAACAATTATAAACATATGCAATTATATATTTTGGTGGGGAGTGACCTCAAAAAAGGTGTAAATAATTGTCTGAATTTAGTCTAAAAAATATCAAGAAAAAGAGATTTTTTGAGGCATACCTGTTTGCTTTCATAATAATTGTCTAAGGTCTTCTGTGTTGCTTTCACTTTGAAAGGCAATCCCTGCCCATTGTCCGGTTGCTTGTTTGTCGATTATGTGCTGGAAGAGTCTGGGAAGTAGGTTGGCTTCTTGCGTACACAGTTAATACAATAGTCTTCAAGAAGATCAGTGTGAAGAAGCATAACTTTCCTTAGCTGTGACATAATTATTACATTTTAGCCTTAATGACTAAAACAGTGGATGCTCATCCAGCTTGAAATTATTTTATGATAATTAAATACCAAGTCTGGTTTAAAATTCCTTAAATTTTTTATTTTAGTTAAATATGCAGTGACCCCTTCAATCAGAAGTAAGACGACATAGACTGACTGATTAAAGGGTTACATTTTTTTTCCTCCTGTGTGATTCTTCCAGATAGACTGAGGATTTTGATATTTAAAGTGCAGAATGGAGTAATTTCAGTGATGTGATGAGTTCTAATAACATCGTAAATTTCGGAGGGAATACCTAGCCACAGTTCAAGGGTCTTCTCTTAGCTACTGGTTTATCGTTACATTTTTCATATGAAATATGCAGCTTTATGTGTGTGATGTCATATCTTTGACTCACAAATTGGGGTTAAAACTCAAAGGGGATCTTTGGCAAGCAAAGTCCAAAACCAGCTGCGCGCTCTGTATTTTCATGAAATCTTCTTCATCTTGGGTGGAGTTAGCAGCATTGAGATCAAACAGAAATGTATTCAACCAACCAAGATGTATTAGTATGACATAGTATTTCACACCTTTTCAGAGCGTCTCATTACACTATTTTGGGTAATGACTCTTAATTTTGGACTCTACCAGGAAAGATGAGGCTTCATTAAAAGTGAATGTGTAGGGATCTGAGCCCCCTTACCCCTATGTCTCTCTTATAACACACAAAGGATATAATGAGATTTAAAAAATTCGTCCACCAACTAGGAAATAAGAGGCTTGCTTTTGGGAAGGGTTGTTCAAAACCAAGTTTAGCTGGACTAAAAATAGGTTGTTTTTGTGTCATTGCTGTTTTTGGTATTCCATTAGTGAGCATGCAGAAAGGCCTGTAGGATCCAGAAGTTTATGGCTGTTGCATCCAGAAACAGTATCCACTGCAGAAGCTCAAATGAACCCGATGGGGGAGGTCTGAGGTCTAATGTGCCTTTTCTGGTTTTCATGTAGTATTTGGAATATGATTATGTTCTTTGATTGCTTCAGTGAGTTGTTTATCTTTAAATAGTTAAAAAGAAAACCTTTAACTTATCCTCTCTCCTACCATCTTGCTTTTAAAAAAGTGACATTTTTATAATTCAAAGAAAGAGCACCAAATTCCATACACTTATCAAAAATGAAACACTCCCTGCCCCCAAACAGGAGCTTTTTCTGGAAAGGGGAAAATGATAGCCACAGAATCCTCGTCTGTATGATTTGAAGGTAGGTGATGTGGTGAGGGGTCTCTAAAAGGCTCCCAGCACAGTGGGAGGTCCAAGGTACAATAGTCAGAAATGCTGTCATGTTTCTCTTCCCAGCTGATCTTCTTTATGCATTTGTTTTGATGTTCCCGGTTCTTTACGTTATTGATGCAGTGCATTTTTTCCTATTGATTGTTTCATTATATCCTGCCACAGCTATGGAGATTTGATTAACAAGCCTTTCAGTTCTTGGTCCTTCATTGGTAGATAAACACATTTTTAGTATGTCAATAAGTTCCAAAGGAGTTCACTAGGCCAGAAGAGAGTTCTTTCATATATTTGGGGACAGAAACAAACAAAAAAGGACAGGGCAAGTTTATAGTCAGGAGCCATGTTTCAGCAGCTTTCACTCTCCTTTGGTAACATGTCCAAAATGCAGGTGATTTGAATTTCCTTGGACATAGAGGAATGGAGAAGTTTGGAATTTTTATGCATGATCAGGACCCGTGTTTGGGAAAATGTAAACTCCTCACAGTGGAAAATGTGTTGTTTGGAGTCTGGGGGTGAAAACAAAGCTGATGGTTTTGGAGAGATTGCCGGAGCCAGATGGCCTAGTACTTCCCCAGTCTGGCGGTCCAACTGCTCCCTCCTGGATAATATACAGCCATTTGTTCGGGGATATTTACGCTAGAGCTGTTTCCATGTGAATGTTTGAACAGCATTAAAAACGAACATATTAGTGGCGATGCATTTATCGAACTTGTCTGACTACACCGAGAGTCTGTTCTTATGTCTTTTACTTATATTGCTGGGAGGGATCAAGGAGTGTTTGGATGTTTGAGGAATTGTTTATCTAGTTGTTGAGCACGATTGATTTGGTCTTAGTGAGTAATTAAAATATGTAAGCATTTGGAATCAAACTAACGGGAATAATGGTAGCGTCTACCTCAAAGGTCTGTTGTGAGAATTAAATGAATTCATACGTGTAAAGTGCTTAGGATAGTGACTGGCACATATTAAGCGCTTAATAAATTAGCTGCTTTTATTATTTTATTATTATCATTATTATTGTCTCGTTGGATTGACAAAGCCAGTTGTGTCTCCTAATACAGAGGTAAATGTAGTTATTATAAGAGTGAAATATCTTTTATTACTGCTAGAAAAAGAAATATCATATGAGATTATTAGAATGATTCAGTTTTTATCTTGGCACTTGAATAATATAAGGGATTTTATTTCTTTGAGACATAAAAGATGCATTCTAAAGCTAACTGCTTTTGGTACACATTCTCTTTTCATTCAAGGCTGTGATGTAACTGAACAGCACACTGAATATGATATCATTCCTTTGCA